TAATTTCTCAACAGGTTTTATTCTCAATGGTTATGATGAAGTCACCCACCTTCTCTTTAAGTAAAAAACAGATCTGAAGGCTTTTCTGCAAGTGAAAGATGTGGAACTTTTAGACTGCCATGATGTGCTTTTCTGGGTCTTCTGCAGTTTTTTCTGTATCCTCTAAAAAGTGTAGGACCAAAAGCAGAATATAATACTAGGTGAGTGAATGATTCATTTTCAAAATGTTTTCTGTATTGTCTCAATATTCTTCTTGCGGCATCCCATTGTTATGTTGATTTCTTTTCCCTTACTGGGGCAGCACGTTGGCTTTTCACTACACTTATGACCAGTTTGACATCCCTACTGCTGAAGCTCTTCCACTGTCTATAGGCTGATTTGTATTTTAATGTCTCTAAATACTCCATTTCATACTTCTCAGTTATGGATGTCATTCTAGATTCACAATTGTTCTTTACAAGATATCAAGTGATCAAAATCATTTATGCATACCTCCTGAAAACATGCAGAGACCACCTATCTTGGGAAGTCTTATAAAGCTGAGGCTATTTTGTTGTTTTCATTCAGTTCCCCTGTATATTAAACAGATCAGGGTCCATGAGTAGTTTTTATGGAATATTGCTTGTTAGGTGTTTTTTTGTTTTGTTTTGTTTTTTGAGTTGGCCTAACACCATTGATCTGCGATTGTCTTCCACTAAAAGAACGTGGTGAGATTAGTAATGGGCAGCAGTGGTTGATGATCTTCAGGGTACATGTGTAATCCCCTAGAGGAAGGTGCAGGTCATAATCCATTGTGGGTTTTATAGCACAATGTATGTTTTATGGAGTTTTTATTCTTTGTTCTATTTAGAAAGATTAAATTGAAGCTATGGTTTAGGGTTTTACACCTGAACTTACAATTTTTCTGATTTCTTTTTTTTGTTTGTTTGGTTGTTTTTGTTTTTGTTTTTCTTGAGACGGAGTTTTGCTCTTGTTGCCCAGGCTGGAGTACAATGGCGCAATCTTAGCTCACTGCAACCTCTGCCTCCCGAGTTCAAGCAATTCTCCTGCCTCAGCCTCCAGAGTAGGTGGGATTACAGGCATGTGCCACCATGCCCAACTAATTTTGTATTTTTAGTAGAGACGGGGTTTCTCCACGTTGGCCAGGTTGGTCTCGAACTCCCAACCTCAGGCGATCCACCTGCCTCAGCCTTCCAAAGTGCTGGGCTTACAGGCATGAACCGCCATGCCTGGCCTTAAAATTTTTCTGATTTCTATATTGCAACTAAATTCTCCTGTAAATAAAAAAAAATACTTTTTATTACTTGTAAGGGCAAATAATTGGTTTGAGTTTTTGAAGATGAAGCACTAACTTTTGTTTTCATCGTGCACTTGTCCCTATTCGTGCTGCTCATTGTCTCTCAGCATGTCCTGGTCTTTCTCCTGGCACTTACCCTCCTCCTGCTGAACAATCTCCATGCACTGTCCAACACCACCAGAAATTCTGGCTCTTCCCTGGCCTCCCCAAAATGGGCACAGGTGTCAGGATGTCAAACACATCCTAAATGCAAAAGCGACCCATGCTTTAGAGCAGGCAGCTATGATCCCACCTCCCTGAAGTTGGCGATAATGTCCTAGTATAGGAAGGAATTATTTCTCTTTTACTAAGGGGTCTTTTCTTCAGGTCTGAATGCCTCCGATCTGGCGAGCACAACTGTCCAAAACATGAATGTACTTGCTAACTTTCTAGTTTCTTCTTAGGCAGCTAGATTATTTATAAGTCCTCCTTACTTACATATCTCTACTGAAGTCTGAATTCTTAGCCAAACGATTCCTTTTCGTGTAAGGTGAGAGGCTTGGAGAAGACTGGTCTCATCACTGTGCAGAAAAGGTAAAAAAAATTCTATTCAAAGCAAGTTTGAATTTGAAACTAGGACTTTCACTGTTCCAATGTGGACGGTCAGTGCCTTAAGCACATGTCTCCAAGGGCTTGTATCTCTGCTATACTCCAGATAAAGCTAAAGTGGGGCCCAAGGATCCAGGTGTCCTAGAGTCCCCCAGTTTCTCTGGGCTTTAGAGGCTGCAACGAACATATCCTGTTGTTCTGCTCTGGCCTACTTTTGTATTGTGGCTTTGGGATGATGTGATGCAGCTTAGTGGTTCCTACCCGCAAGCTGATCAGAGTAAGAAACAACACCTGGGAAAGTTAGTGCGAATACAGTTCCATCAACTCCGTTGCCGTGATTCTGATTCAAGTGCCTTACCTGGTGCCTGGAATGCATTTGTCAACGTTACTCAGATGTGCAGTCAGTTTGGGGACCCATTGATACCATCAATCTAACAGTTTGTGAGATGATTTTTCTTACATATTATCACTTGTGATCTTCACAAACGACTTGTGAGGAAAGCTTTACTTTGCCCTGTTTTGCTGATGAAGTAACCAAGGTATAGAGTCTGTAACTTGGCCAGGTTCTCCTCACTGTAAGTACTGGAGCCAGATCTCAGGTAGAGTCCCCTCTCCCCCACACCCTTTTCCACATTTTCCAATTCAACTGTGTCAGTTCTTTCTGAGTGGGTGTTTCTATAACCTATACCTTATTTCTGCAAAAACAAAAACAAAAACAAGCCTTTTTTTAATCTAATGTATTTCCTCACAACAGGCTGTCAGCATGATATTCTGGCCACTGACTGTGAAAGTGAGATGTATTTTTTCATGAAAATACTGGGCAGAGAAATGTGGAAAGACAACTTACATTATTATTGTTGTTGTTGCTGTTATCACTAAAGTATAATTCGTATATCATAAAAGTCACCATTTTTAGGCGTACCATTCAGTGTCTGTTACTATATTTAAAAGGTTTTGCAATCGTCACCACTACCTAATTCCAGAAAATTTTTGTAATGTTGAAAAGAATGCCCATACTTATTGGCATTCTCCCACTTCTTGCAATCCATAAATTTATAGGAACCACTAATCTACTTTCTCTCTATATAAATTTAATTGCTCTGGAAATTTCACATACATAGAATAATACATTACATGGCCTTTTGTATCTGGCTTCTTTTACTTAGCATAATGTTTTCAAAGTTCATCCTTGAGGTGGCTTGTGTCAGTACTTCAATCCTTTTCATGGCCAAATAATATTCCATTTTTTATGGAACATATACCACATTTTTTATCTATTCATCAAATGATAGTTGTTTGGGATGTTTCCACTTTTAACTATTATGAATAATGCTGCTTTGAATATTTTTACATGTTTTTGAGTGAACATCAGTTTTCACTTCTCTTGGTTATATACCTAGGCATGTAATTGCTGCATGCTATACAACTTTATATTTAACTTTTTGAGGAACTAACAAATTGTATTCCAAGCTCAGTGGCCACACCATATTATATTCCCACTAGCAATTATAGGAATTCCATTTTCTCCACAATCTCCCCAGTATCTTATTTTGGTTTAGCTTTACATTTTCCTACTGACAAATAACATTAAACATTTTTGCAGGTGCTTATTGGTCATTTATATGTATCCTTTAGAGAAATGTCTATTCACACCCATTTTCCCATTGTCAAATTGAGTTATTTGTTTTTTGTATTGCTCAGTTATAAGAATTCTTTGTATATTCTGGATACAGGACCCTTGTCAGATATATGATTTGCAAATATTTCTCCCATTATGTGTATTATCTTTTCACTTCCTTGATAATGTCCCTTGAAGTATAAAATTTTTAAATTTTAATAAAGTTGAATTTATCTATTTGGGGTTGCTTGTGTATATCTAAGAAACCAGTGCCTAATCCAAAGTCATAAAGACTTATAGCTAGGTTTTCTTTAAAATATCAGTTTTTGAATGAGAACTTTCCTGGGTTTTAGTTAAAGGTGAACATTATTTAATTACGTCTTGGGTCCATTGACTGATGTTTCTTCTGATTGATATTCCTATGCCCACCACCCCCTCTCTGGAGCATCCAATGTCCTACAACCGAGCTCTGGGGAATGGTACCCTTTTACTGACTTTGATTCAGGTGAGTGGCCTGGTCATGTGGTTCAGCTTGGCCTTAAACCAAACCAGTTTGACAGATTCCTCCAGACCTTTAAATTTGAACAGTTGAGTGCCTCTCTGAGGAACGCTTGGTCACCCATGTTTTTCTAAGGCTAGAGTGGACTTCCTCTGTCAATGCTAGACAAAGGGGACTGTAGGGGTTGAATCTAGTCAAGACTTTCATCTCTGGTGTTAGATAAAGATTACACCTTCTTCAGGGTTTGGGGAAGGTTGCTCAGTACAAACTAGGCCCTCTCTAACTCTTTTTAGTTTATTGTAACTTCCTTCTAGAAATAATGGAAGAATATTTATTTTGGAACATTTTTCTGGTTTTTTTTCCCATTGTTTGTCTACATTTTTAAGTGGGTAAAAGAGAACTCAGAGTAAATATATTCTTAACAACTAACTATGGCTCATGTACACTGTCATGTGATCATATTTCTTTCTGTTATTTAAACTATCTTATTACACAGGTATTATCCTTCTCTTGATGAGGAAAAAACTCAGAAAAGTTACAAAATTTTCCTAGGTCACAAATTTAGTGAGTTGAGGAATAAGCATTAGAAACCAGTTCTGTTTGGCCTTCAAAACTAACCTCGTACCGTTAAATCAAATTGAATGATAGTGCTTCTGTGGGAATAAGTCTCAGAGTTTGTGGTTCTAGACTGATTTTCCCAGGGAAATAATGTGTCTTTTTTATATTGTTTCAAACCTTCAAATTTCAAAATCTTTTTCCATTATGCTTTTTTGTGTTTGTTCTATTCCATTGTTTTTGGTTTCTTCTCAAGGAATCCCTGTTATTTATACACTGAATATTTGTTACCTAACTTCTCTCAATTGTCACTTTTCAAGAGTCTTTATCATCTTTTTTTTCTGCGACCAGTTCTTAATTGAGGTATAATTTGCATAAAACAAAATGCAAAAAACCCCTCAAGAATACAGCTTAATTAATTTTAACATAATTATGCATTGTGTAGTACCACCGAGATCAAGGTAGAGAACATTTTCCACCACGCCCAAAAGTTCTGACATTCTCCTTGCCAGTCAATACTGATCCGCTGAATAAAGAATGTATTCTGAATTTTGTAAGTCTCAATCCATTTGTGTTGCCATAAAGGGACACTTGAGGTTGGGCAATTTATAAAGAAAAGAGGGTTAGTTGGCTTACCATTCTGCAGGTTGCTCAAGAAGTATGGAGCCAACATCTGCTTCTGATGAGGGCCACAGGCTGCCTCCATTCATGGTGAAAAACAAAGGGAAGCTGGTGTTGCCAGAGATCACATGATGAGAGAGGAAGGATGAGAGAGACGGGAGGTACCAGGCTCTTTAACAACCAGTTTCCATGGGAACTAAAAGAGCAAGAACTTACTTACTACCCACTTCCAGGGAGGGCCTTAACCTATTCATGCGGGATCCCAATGACCCAGAGGCCTCCCATTGGGCCACTTCCAACATTGGGGATCAAATTTCAACACAAGGTTTGGAGGGCACAAATATCCAAACTATAGTAGGGGCCATAATTTTGTTTCTTATGCATCATAAAAATGGAATCATAGAATATACTCTCTTTTGTTTTGACTTCTCTTACTCTGCGTCTGCTTTTGAGATTCAATCTCGGGGGGGGGGGGGTTATATGTGCCACTAATTTGTTTGTTTGTGTTTTTCTTTAATTTTATTTTGAGAAAGTAATGTTTTATTGTAAGATTAGCGCAGTTTGATTATCATTTTTTCAGATGGTAGACAGGTTTACTTTTCGGCTATCATGTACAAAATAACTTTGAATATTCTTGTATAATTCTTTTAGTGAAGATATGCACTCATTTTTCCTGGGTATACACAGTTAAGAGTGGAATTGGTTGAAAGAATGAAAAGCTGAAACAGAGTTTTGCAGAGTAGTTTTACTATTTTACATTTCTATGAAAAATGTAGGTCATTTCTAGTTGCTCTGCATTCTCACACACTTACTATTTTTAGTCTTTTTCATTTTAGCCATTCTACTACATATGTAGTAATATGCAACTTTGGTTTTCATGTGCCTATTGGTCATTTAGATATTTTTAAAGATTTTCTACTATTTTTCTTCTAGAAGGTTTGAAGTTTCAAGGTTTATACTTAAGTCTATTATCTAATTTGAGAGACTTTGGGCTCTTTTATTTCTATTATATAAATTTAAGGTGTACAACATGATATTTTAATACCCATGTACATAATGAAATGATAACTACAGATAAACAATTTAGAATATACATCATCTCACATAGTTACCTTATGTGTATATAGTAAGAGCACCTAAAATATACTTTCTTAGAAAATTTCTGGTATACAATACACTATTATTAACTATATTCCTCAAGCTGTACTTTATATCTTTAGATTTATTCCTCCTACATAATAGCTACTTTGTACTCTTGAACCAACATCTCTCCATTTCCA